AAAAACTGTTCAACTGAGAAATCTAGTACAACATTGTCACATATGCTTATGGCCTGGATTCTTCCGCGCTAACCCTCACTGAACAAAAGGCGCCTTCGAGAAGCATACTCGGCATGCTCGAGACTATTTTCACTTCGTAGGGCCTGTGCGTTGAGTGGAATGTGTCGCTCTTACCTATATTTCCAACTGCCTCACCACCAACTGTCCATCCTTCACTCATACTTAGTCATGAGCAGAGGTTCATTCCTTCGATCCTTGAGATATAGATTGCCATGCCTAAAACTTCCACAGTGTAACCTGCATTCCGAATAGCTTGTCAAGCTCTAATGTGTGGACTGTGGTTGAATGTCACCACTTCAACCCAACATTAGTTGGTCCATACTAACTCCGTAGTCGATCCACGTCTCGAACAGCTGGTTTATGCTGCCAGACGAGAATTGAATAAAAGCAAAAAGACAGGACATAGGGGAGGTGCAGAAAGGGGTTATAGGAGTCAAACCAGGGACGGGGACTACCATAGTTGTCTTACCAGACTTGCTGATGAAGCCTCACAACACACTACCTACATATCAAAATGCGTCCTCAACCTTTGGCGAAGGTTGTTGACCTCCAACAATGCCGCTACGTTGTGGTCAGCGTTTCTGTTTTCTGACCATGTCTTCGGTTAACGCTTACTCCGTTTCTGGTGCGTTTGAAAGTTCTCAGTAAAGAGTCTGAATAGTCACCTTCGATTTTGACAGTAATGAATCGGCTCCGGACGTTTCGCCGTAGGTCCTAATCGTATCCCCAACTACGAAATCACAGAAACATCTCTGTAAATTGCTTTAGTACGTGAGAGAGAAAAATGATAATACGCAAGACTTCAGCCTACCTGTCACCTATGAGCTTTGACCAGTATGGCACTGGAAATCCCGATGAGCCATGTCTCAGAATTCGCTGACGAAGATGGATGTTTTACGCCATTCTTATTATAAGTCGATGCCAATTCGACCGGATGTGAAAATTTTGTGCAGACAAGAGAGATAATCTTCTTTGCCGAATAACAATTGTTGCCACCATATTGGTTGGGGACAAACTGGTTAGTATGCCCTGCGCAACGCGTCAAATCCATATAACCCAGTGGCAAAACCATAAGACCACCCATTTTCCCCATAATTTCTCCAATTGGTTGTGAGATTGGGTGATTTTCTCTGCCAGACAACTGCGCAGATTTTACGAGTGGAATATTTGAAGCAAATTACGTGAAGACATCTAAAAGTAGAAAGGGACCACAGTAAAATTTTCGGACCACCTCACGGTACTATTCGGTCGATCGGGTTTCTACTGGTACTTGTATGCCATTTCGCAGTGAACCCTGTATAAACTGATCTGTGTTACATTTGAGCCATAAACAACCACACTTTTACACACTTAATGGATCCGTAGACTTCCTTAGCGTTCATTCAGGTGGACACTAGAAATACCAGTTGTTTCAATACGGTATGATCAAATCCAGCTTTCGATGGCATGAGGCGTTTGAACCAATATATTTTCCCCAGGTGTGCTACGCTTTCTAGTAGCCGGTCGCACGCCTCAGTCGTATTTGCTCATTACACAAGCTGATAGAATACCCTAAGTGAGCACTCGTCGACTGAGCTCGTTTGTTGTCTCTGGGACTCATTCGTACGTTCTATCCATCCAGTCCATCGGTACGTATTTTTACCCCCCGTATTATGGCTCACTCACTGGATCCTGGATAGTTAGTCCACAAAATCATTGAATTTGAAGCCGTTTGTACTCAGCGGATTCCTTCCGTTCACAGACTTGGTTTTTTCGCTCTTATCTGTCCTCTGGACGTGTCTGGTAGCCATACTTTAACTAAGTGCTGATCTCTTAGATCTGACGCGTCTCAGTATTAGTTGAATCGACAATCATACAAGGTCACTAAGACCGATTTGTACATCCAGACATCGAAAGGACCTTTCTATTTGTGACCAAGGAGTGTACAGCAGAACGTGGCGGCTCATTCATGGCTTCATCAAGACTCCGCTTGTGTTCCTTTGCAGCAGTAGCCATATCATACTCATGGTTTCAACCCGTAGAGTCTACTAACCGATGTAGCGCGTCGACAGCGTAACATCAGTGTTCAGTACTGGTGTTTCGCTGCCGTACAGCGATAATTTATTTAGAAATCTCATAGTGAAGAAAATAACATTGGATGGTGAAGGGAATTATTGCTAGCTCACCATAGTCACTTCGAGGTGCCTATACATTCAGATACACATTTAGGCAACCTGGATAGAAAATGACAACAGGAACGCCATTGACAGCCATATCTTGCAACGCCTCCAACCGTGCAATAGTGGGATCACGCGGGCCGCATCCTGGAAGACGGGTTGCACCAACAGTACCTAAACTTCATGCACTCGCTGATACCCTGTCAGGTCAAAGGTTAACCACCTTTCTCTCTTTGCCACTCTGAATTGGGCCAGGGAAACAGGACTCAACACGCACAACATCTGACCTAAACATTGCAGCTTTTGTTGGTGGGCTTCTCCGATTGAAGTCCCCTTTGCACAACCGAACACTCACTTTCTGGTTTCCTCCCTGCGGATTAGCTGGCACCGAACTTCACAAGATATTAAACAACGGTTGTTGAGAACCCGAAAACGTCTCAGTTCCACTGCTAGCAGAACCTACGTCTCACAAACGTACAAGAAAACAGTTCATAATTTATCCCGATATACATGTCTCTTGTTATTAAGGGTGTGCGGCTTGCCGGCATGGATGTATCAAATTAGCAAACGTGACTTGAGCTTTGCTGATTCCTGCATTGATTATATCTGTCGCACTACCGTCCGAACTAATACAACTTCCAAGAAACGTAAAACGCTTCAGAATTTCGAGTGTCTCTCCCTAGATTGTAAGTGTTGCTCACTGAATGCATGTCCATAGGTTTAACCTTACACTTAGTTGATGGCTTGGATCAGTTTATCCAAGGACATCTGCGTTTTCTCCTCCTCGAATGAGAATGATGTATGCACATTCCAGATCATGGGAACAACGAAGCTAGCGAACAAAGCTTGTTCTATGTGATTGTTCCTCTTGGTTAATACATCACGAACTTATATGGTACCAAAAACCACGTGAAAAGGGTGGTACGCACACTTTAGAGAGATAAAAATCAAAGGAAGGGGTTAAACGAGGCGTAGGTCAATTGGCCACGGAATCGAGTAAGTGACTTCAATAACAGACAGGCTTTTGGGACCGGATTTTTCGCAGGCCACTTCAAGTCCAGAGGCCTCACAAGTTCCTTTTGGACGCAAAGTTGTGGGTCCAGCAATCGCCTCTGCGGTCCACAGTAATCTGGATCGTATCAGTCGTGATCAGTTCTGATGTACCCGGTGTATGGAAGCGGAGGCTTGCTCTTTGTTGATGACATTATGGCTGGTTTCGGCTTAATGTGATGCAATTGCAATTGAGCCCGGTTTCTTCCATTCAGGGACACGGGATTGTGTTCTCGCATTCTGTCCGACATATGCCTTGTCGTACAACCAGAAAATGATGCTCGGAACGAACACAAAGTCTTCGTTTGCAGCTTTTTGAACACCTGAGTTTTGAAAACCTTTGAACATCGCCTCATTGTCTTGTCGTTCACGAAATTTAATAGGACTGGGGAGAATGGGCATGCTTGTCGAACACCACTTGGTGGACAGAAGCTCTTGGAGGGCTCCGTTTACTATCACATGTCCCCAAACCTGAAAATACCTGTTGCACAGAGTTACGAAAATCTGGTCCAAATACTGGATTGGCGGCCACTTCGAGGTGGGTATGCAGAGTCATTGGTCAAAATGCAATCCAAGCATTAAAGTACATGCGAAGTACTCTAAAGAGGTTTTAGGGCGAAATGAATCATATGAAATCTCGCTGGGTGTGACGGTATCACCGGATCATTCGATAGTTTTATTTCACTCATGTCCTACCTCTTTTTGGCTTCATGCCATTTTCTTGAAATTTCTGTTTTATCTTTTGATAGGGTCGGTTACATAGTAATGCAAATCATTCCACTTTGCCCGTTAACTATTAATTTCCGGTACAAAGTTAGATCGCGGGAGGGAAGTTTCGTTCGATTTTAGTGGCTATCAACTGGAGGGAGGTTTCGGACATTGATTGAGGGAACCGTAAGCCACGGCTGTGTGGGTACCAACTGATAATGGTTATTATTTGTCCGCTCCGTTTGGTGTAGACATTCAGCTGACATTCATCGCTAGTCATTGACTAACCAGCGGAGCTTCATCGAGGCAACTACATTCACGATCTACAGCTTTTGCGCCATCTAGTGGAAGAGAATAAACTCGCATTTTGTTAATTACCCCGAGTTTATACTAAACAGATAACTAAACACTATCAGTCATCCGACATTTCCGCCAGCTGCTTCGGCAGTCAGCCGTTTTCACTGATGAGTTGTACATTAATCTATACTCTGATAGGCGCTTTTCTAAGGTTGAAAATAGCTTGATAGTGGTGGATATATAGTACCAGTTCCGCCGTACCCTTGATCGGCGTCCCAGAAACGTATTTGTAAACGGTCAGTCCGCATGGAGCTATCACCAGTAAAATTAGGACATTAGAGCGCATTTGTTCTGAATTGTGTACTTTGTGTTGCTGTTCATAAACAGTTGACCTTTATGGAGAATGTTTATTTATTTTGATGACAAAGAAACTACATAACAGAAAAGGACTCGTATAAAGAGATGCTATTTATTGGGGACACTCCTGATTTCGCAGAAGTAACATGATAACAAAACAATAATCATTCATGTCCGATAAGAACGTGGTGCACAGGAAGACGGACAGAACGGGGTTTCTATGAAAGCGTACTACTACTAAAAGCATGAACAAAGTATGCCACACCTATATATGGTTCGTCTGATTTATAAACTTTCTGAGCACCCAAGCAACCGATTGTTCAAACCTTTCGGTCCCGTCCTATTAGAAAAACAGTAGGGAGGAAGAAGGGTCTACAATTTTTCCAAGGGTTCTTTTACCTGCCCACATCGAAGAAAATGCTCTGCAATTGCTTGAAATTCATCTGGATCAGCTCGGTGAGGCCCCCAGCAAGTATATTTTTCAGTGGAACTAATGACCTCTTCATGATTCATCCAATTGATGATTCTTACATTGTCCATTTGCGCAAGAATGTAGGTGAGCCAGTCTTCAGCGTTCAGCCTTCCGGGAGCACGCATTAGAAGAAGCAATGGCCCGCTGTTCGTGCTAAACTGTTCTGTCAGTTGACGTTTAATCACAGGATCGCCAAGCTCGCGCCAGAAATAGCCCAAATTTTTTGCCAAGGTGTAGTGCGTCCAGTTCTCAGCGAGGTAATTCGAATCGTACATCGCTTCCAACGGCGCACGGCATGTTAAAGGCCAGGCATGAGGGTCCTGAGTCTGATCTATCAAGTTAGCCTTTACACATGGTATTGCTCCTTCATGTGCCCAAAGAACAAGTTTGCGAAATTCTAGTAAACAGTAAAAAAAAGACATATCATTTTACTTCGTTTTGTAATAAGCGTTTACTGGCCTTAAACCTTAGCGGAAAGCGAAACGTGCAAATTTCACTAAATAGTTGGGGATACCAGATAGCACCTAGAACATATCTTCCGTAGTCGTTGCTTCCCTCTATATTACTCATCATTGTTCAGCTAGACACACGTAAAAGCGGTGGCACGCACAGGCAGTTCACTAGCGGTTGAGAAAAATATTTTGGGGTTTGTGTGTGTTCTAAAGGGTTCCGTGCTTTTGAGGTTGATTTGCAAGACGACAAAGCCAGCATATAACTGATGTGATCGAGGGCCACTGGGATCTTCCTCTATTTGCGAAATGTCGCCGGCGTATTCAACAAAGATGTAAACTCCTGGGTGGCCACAGGACGCCGATTGCATCGCCCAAGCCACTGCATAACGAAAGCCAACAGCCGGTGATGGATAACCACGCCTTCTTACGATTGTTGCGGTGAATGTTCTTGTTACTGTTCGTATACATGAGCTTTCGAGCAATGGCATTTATGGGGGCAACCAGTTTCAAAGATCTGTTTGCACTATCTCCTACAAAAATAATTGTCAAAGAACTCAAACGTCCCATAGAATTTTAGAAACCGAGCTCAAATGAGTTCTCTGTATTAGTATCAGGGGTTCCATGGGGTCAGAATACCTTAGGAACCACCTTGATTTGACCATGTGTGCGTGTCCCCAACGTTTGAGAAGTGGTCTGGAGATAACACGATGGATAGTCTGACCCACCTTGGTTCTTGTAGACCCTTCTGTTAGATGGTAAGTAATAAGACTTATTCCGTTTGTCAAAATAAGTATATATATATATATTATATAAGTATAAAAGTATATATAAGAATATAACGCAACGAAGCTTGTAATGTGGCGATACAGCTGAGAGCGTATCCCATCTTTTCAATGACTTGATTTTTTAAATTCTTGATAACCTCATCTGTCTTATCTTCTTACAGTGAATCACATCACAAGAATTGCTGCCGTCCTGAATGGTTGTTTTTTGCAGTTGTTTGTTGGTTTAGCTAGTGAGTGAAATCATTGGTCCACCTGGGTATGTCTTATTCGGGTGTAAACTGACCGGTCACATCCCATAAGAGGTTCCATCACTTGAAGCTTGTCTAAGGCGGAACAAATTAGTCAGGACGGCTTACCACAACAACCAATATTATCGGAGTTTTCTGTTTTACGCGATGATCATTAGGTCTTATTTCGTCCAGTTTACACCAGATAAAAAGTATCCAAAGGATTGTAAACGTGGTTCAGTGCGAACCATATGTGGCACCGTCTGTTCTGTGCGGCCATCCGTCAATGAATTTCGGCTTGACAGGAGGATCTGGAAACGAACGCCCGTCTGGTATTGATCTCGGTCCTTCTTGAAACACCGACTTGTTTAATTTATGAATGGATGCCCATAGTGATACTAGACAATCGTATTGTCTTTTGGGAGCACCCGTTCTTCTGTCTTCGAGAGACAATACCCATTTTTACTATGCAGATACTTTCGGGATAGCACGGGCTTACTGATAATCAGCTATGGTTTACTCGACTAACTTCGAATAAGTAGCTTCTCACTGAAAGCTTGAATTTTCCGGAAAACCGATTGGGGTCATGTTTATCTTTCTGAAGATTTAGGATTTCCGGAGTTGATTCAGGTTGATCGTCGGCCGGACGTTGACAAGAGTGCAACGAGTACAACAAGCATTTCCAATCTCCATGTGTCGGAAAGGTCGGTGGTGTTCGAGGGGAGGACCACCAGCATAACCCTATTAATTAGTCTAGGCGGTATGCTGTTCACTCATCATTTGGAAACCAAGTCAGTAAACCCGCCAAGTACTATCATTTGCACACTGGTTTCGGTTTACCCCGGGGCTACACTGTGTCCATCTGAATATCTTGCTTATGTTGATTGTGCAAACAAGTCCGTAAATGTTTCCTATGGTGGTTTGGTAACCCTCAATAGATGGTAGCTGACAATAGTACGAAGCCGTTCACTATCATCTCATTGCTGACTGATGCCAGTGTTGTATTGTTGTCCGAGGGGTCTGCGTTATTATTCTAATCACCTGCGATGATGGGAGTGTTCCGCTTCGGAAACTTGACCTCGTGTAGTGGCATAGAAGGAATTCATAGGATCCGTGTTTTCTCCCTAAAATGAGTCATGGTTGGGTTAAAATGAATTCCATGCAGTGAGGACTTAACGTACTTCATACTTGCGTGTGCTACCCAGTCAAGTTCAGTCTGATGCACTAGTTCCTTGTGATAAAGCCAATATTATGTATCTACACCGGGAGCCTTGATGTCTGTGAACTCGAAACCTGAGAGACAAACAAAAAGGAAATACAATACCCACATAGTAGTCGAGTCAGTTTCGCGTAAGGATACACTGACCTCCAGTGCTGAGCGCCACTTATGCGTCATCATGAATTCTTTTCCATGAGCGCGGTTTTCATCTAAGGAGTTGATCAGCTAATGTTGAGCCGCTTTCTGAAGAAACCCATATGACGTGGTGGATAGCAGCGTCTCGTTGCAAACTGATTATCGTGATTTCATCTCTTCTAATGGCTTCTGCCGTGTTTGTTTTTACTTGCGGGAATCGACCCGCAATTCCGATGGATAGTGACCCGTCTGCCAGACCAGTATATCTCAAGCGTAGGGAGAAAATAGTTTGCAAACTTAACTCGTACAAAGATTTCAGCATACCTGACACCAAGAGAGAAACTGGAGATACCATACACTCATGTAATAATGCGCGAGTTGTGAACACAAAGGTGTGTGGTGCGTATTCACCCGTGACATCTCAATTTATCTTATCCAACCTGACAGTATTTTCTCTCTCTATTTCTCCAGAGAGACTGTGCTCGGATTGAGCGCTTCTGCAGAGAACAATGTAGCTATTAACAGTTGCCAAATATAAGTTTGCTGTATGTAAACAGCGAACATATGGTAATGCCGGGACCCCTTCGGGTTGAGAGGTAGTTAAAGGACAATTCACGGTATCGCAAAAGGTTTCAACACCAGACTAACTTACCTTTGGGTTCGCAGTTTGCCACAGTGATCAAGGCTGTAATTGCCCCCTCAGCCCAACCCAAGAGAGAGAAGGGCACCAAATTCAGATGACGCATCAGCCTAAGCGCCAAGTGAGCATCCTCTTGAAGACGCCCTGGTTGTTGCAACCACGACCGCTCTGTTGGAGGTATACTTCCTCCTTGGCCTGGTGGATCCCAGCCAATTGCAGTAAAACTGAAATCAACATATTTACATATAAGTTGCTGAGGAATTTCATGTAGCATATCTAACTGCGTGAAGCATAAGAAACATCCTTGTATTTTATGCTGATACAAGCAGTGCACTAAGTGTTCTTATCTCGCAACAATACTTTCTTCATGGTATGGTCAAGTAAATCAGCTCAACAATAGTTTGCATTCCCAAGTGGAGACCCACCTTTGCAGCAAAAAAACCGGTTGGTTCTGACTGTGCTTTTCCCCGAACTTTTCAGGAAGATTTTTTATCTTAGCTGGTTACATAAAAAAAAGTGGAAAACCCACTCTTTCCCCTACAGAAGGACAGAGGGCCCAACTTATCCCGTTTATCGAAACGCGTAGGAAAATTTTGCCACTTATGGACACTTTATCACTCTGTTACTTAACACGGACATATTAAAGAAGACTGGAGCAAAGGATCATGCCGTTCTAAATAACTTCGATTAGCTAAAGGTCGAAAGTAAGTGTGAACTCCCGTCAAGCCTGAAAAATCACGAGAAGGATCGGAATCTGCCCTGATTGACCCCAACCTGGAGCGCTGTCTTTAAGCCCTAACATCAAAGTCCAAACCAATAAACCGAGCCTAACATATATTGACGTGGAATTTAGAAATCTGTGCGATCGGCTTCTAGAGTTTACACACGAAACAAGCGAAGGTCAATACTCAATGGTAACAAGCTGCGATTCTCACTAATATGCGATGGATGCCCTCCAACTAGAGAGCAGATAGAAACACTGCTTGATCTCAGACGAAGCGAAACATTATGCTGAACAATACGAATACGAACCTATTCATTTTGGAAAACTTGTGTGCACCGATTAGGTGTCCCAATGTGGCGCTTTTCATGGAAAAAGTGATTGCCTGCAAGCTGTGGATTCCTCCGTTTCAGTGTTGCCTCTGCCAGCTGAATTCTACTGATTTTAACTCAGCTCACTTATTGTCTGTATTCTCTTCAAAGAACGGTTGACCCGTATTGTAACTTTGCTGGCATTATGTTAGATTCGCCTAAGCTCGTGACAATAACACTCATAGAACCCTGTTTGAGAAATACTTGTAAGCTTTTCGCATTTCTAGACAGAAGTGACGTTCCTAATTTAGCTTTACCTTCAGTTAGTGTTCGGTCCTTATCTACCAAAGTTATCACCAAAGTTACCCGTGCCATTTTGAAGAAACTAGTTTTACTGAGCCGGAACTGTTCCGGAACAGACGTCACTCGGATGCGCCGCTGCATCGTCGGTCGAATGATTGGCTGCCGAAAAACCGATGACACAACTATGAGGAATACTTTAGAACTCACGTTAGAGGATACTTCTGCGATAGAACGTAAACACAACCCCTACTCTGAAATCCAGAAGGTCTCACCAGGTAGGGATTTATACTCAGTTTGTGTATGATAGATTATCGGTTGTTGTTTAACGTGACCAGAAATTAGATTGAAAACTTGCTTTCCTTCTTTGAATTAATGCTGTCCCAGTTTTTTTCGTGTGAACGTGAAAATGAGAACCAGCTTCTATTTCTAAATATATTCTGGTGGATCTATGTCACGAGCTGTCTATCGGATGGAAAGGCTATTGTCATAACTTCAGTTTTTTCGTGGCAAGTTAAAAGTAAGGACAAAGCAGGATATGGGAGCATGTCCTCGGAAGGGTCCTCTCAAGCCACTCTGTTGTGAAGGTTAGCAAAAACTATGGGAACCAGTCTATTGGTCAAAACAAACCGACAAAGGGGAGAAGATGGAGCTCTCGATATGACAGCAAACTAGTTCAGATCATTTATTGAATGATCTGTGCTTCTCACCATTGCGTGTGTTTTTGTGTTAAACAAGGATTTGTTGGGAGAATAACGTTGTCCAGAGTAAGTCAAGCACTCCAAAAAGACATACTTACCGTTAACGTATCGCGGTTTGGTGATCAGAAACCCAGCCACTCGAATCCAGTCGTTTTTAAATGATCTAGGTTGGTTCATATTACACGAAAATACGAATTTTCACCAATTAGTCCGATGGTGTTGACCAAAAATCCTGTGGCAGTCTATCAGCTTTGCTTTGAGCGTACCTGTCCAAGAGGTTGTGATCCTTGGATTTCTATGAATTGCGTTTGTGACTTATTCCTCCGACTGAAGGAAGTTCCAAATTTGCAACTTCCTCAGTGCGAGGTATTCGTTCATGCCATGAGAAAATTTTGCAGGTGCTGGAAGGTTCACTTAAACCCGAAAAACTAATGGTCCCTTCCACATGCTTCACTAAATAAAGCCATGGCAAATTCGTGACGGCATTCAGGTGCTTTGTGAAAATAGTAATGGTCTGATATGGGACCGAAGTTAATCAAATAGCAAGTTTTCTCTCGTCTCTAACAATGCAAGATCACCCGCAAATCTACTTGATAATATTTCTTTTCACCTTCCAGATTTTGGTCTGAAACAGCATTGTGATCGTGCTCTGGGACGTTCTGTGTACAGAACGCTCACATGGTCTGCATATTTCAACACAATTAACATATGAGGATAGAAACGCAACCTTATCCACAGCCTTACCAACATAGTAAATAATCTTCTGTCAAACGTGCTAGTCTGCGCCTTGGGAAACCACACGTTTTTCAATAATTTTATGGGCTACCATCACGACTCTTAAGGTAAAACGCTAGTAAAAAACAAGTGTCCTTCGTCTAATGGTGATACACTTGCGATCTACTGAGCAACAGGCCTACACCAGTCCGAGCAGAGTTGCCCTTATCACAACACATCTAGTTCACAAGACAAAGTATCTATTCACGCCAAAAATACATCACTTTTCTCCTGATACTGATGCTGTACAGCATAATGGATTGGTCGAACGACGACGCAACTACGTGGAAGAATATTCCAACACAATCCACATTGGTTTGCTTCTGGTTCTGTGGGAACAGTACCCAGCTCTTTGTTGCAGCACCTAGCGGACAGCAAACGTGGCGCGGTGCCCAGTAAATGTTTCTGCATCGACTACCTGGCACTTCAAGTCAACGAAGGTCGGGGAGGCGTCTCATGGTTTCAGTGACTAAGGCTATCACCAACCGATACTTTGGTCTGATAATTCATCTATAAAAAGGCTTCAATCTCGTGAATGAACTACCTTGGTCCGCGGTAGCACATACGCCCGGTACTGAGCCCAAACAACAAAACCTATACTAAAAACCCCAGAGCTTCCCATTCCTGACTTCAAGTTGATGTTTGAAGACAGACAACCAACCCCACCTCTTTTCCTTTCTTTGACAGTTTTGCTCACCATATTTTCTTCAATATCGATATGCTAGCCTTTAAAATTGTATGGTTTAGAAAGCCTCTTGTGAAACCACTTCCATAAGTTCATGTCTATCCCCATTCTAAATGGGAATTTTCGGAAATCAGGCAACCTCTAATTCGCATCGTTCATCAAACAACCAAACAAAGTCGTACGCCTGATACACTGACTAAGAAAATACAACAACTCTCAAGTGTACTGCTGAAAACAACTACCCAAATCGATTTTCTGAAAAGCTAGTTGAGGTCAACGGAGCCAAAAGCCACAAGTATTAAAAATGATACGTTTTTCGACAATAAATACAGTATGCTCATTAGGAAATGGTGAACTCATCACGCTGGACAAATAAGGATCCAAGCATAGAGAAGCTAATACCTTTGTCACCAAGTATATTACACCACTAACTGCATGATCCAGTTCATTCGCAGCTGCGGCGGTCTCACATTGCAGAACCGATAGGACGCTTGCTTTTCGATCAACTCCAGCAATGGTTCAGACTAGCGCTGTAGTCATAGAAACACTTGCGATTCATCCTGAGTTTGCTGTGGCTTCATTCAACGAAGGCAAATTACCCAGGACTTTTGAAGCACTTTATTCCTTTGAACCAGAAACCCAATGACCGAAACAAATGTCTGACACCAAACCTCCAGCCTTCGATGGAGGAACTTCCAGACTTAGAATTTTTCTCAGTCGAACGAATAAGGGGCGAATATAACTCATCCAACCCCACTCACTATCCAACCACTCACTATTTTTCGAACAGGCATGATCAAGGCAAGCCTGATAGACTAACATTGAATTTTTTCTACCAAAACCAATGCTCAACTTGGTGGTGGAAATCTGCTGTGTTCCACAAGAATTTGGATTTCACGAGGAAGTTCCAGGTAACTGTTACTGAGGTTATACTTCGAGACTGGATCCCACACGGTATCCTGTCCTATGTCATTTAATTTCATCATGTGAACTAACGAGCTTACCATCGGTGTTAAGGCCGACCTATTCATCTAAGGCCAGTTGTTGGACCAACAGTAGGAACCCGTCTGCTCCCTCATATTTGCTTCATTTTTATAGAAAAAACGACGGGAAACTCAGGAAGACGCTGGTTTGAACGCAGAAGACGTCTGCTCAGGTTGACAGCCGAGGACTCTAAGTGCCACTCAACTTCTTATTCACCATCTGTTCCAGTCGTCAACTAAGGTCAAAGAGTAAAGCAGGCAAATTAAAAACCAAAACAGTTCATGATCCTGTTACATTCTTGTAACACAGTCTGTAACTCACGTTTTCTTGTCTAATCTGTCCAGAAATAGGGAGTAGTCGGTTATCACGCTGCCCATTGGACCTGGGAAGAGAAGCAGATTGTGTGCTCCGGAACCCGCACGCATATAGTGAATTTTGTAGCCTTGAACCACTTCGAAAAGACCGCAGTGATACATTTTCCCAATCGACTTGATGTATTCTATTCCCGTTCTTTCCAGCCGAAGAAGCGTCCCGAATAGAAGCCGGTGGTTGATTCTCATACTCGCTACTTAATATTCTACAGTATGCGGAAGAACGAAGGAGAAAATCCAGAAAATCCGGCAGTGAGTAGCTTTTCTCGCCTTCCACAACAGCGAAAAAGACAATATTCAGTTGATGGTGAGATGAGCTCATGTTGAACCATTTTCATAGCTGGTTTAGATAAACCTCAGAACTAAGCACACTAATCGATAGACACCAATGAAGTTCACGTATTGGAGCATTTCGGGTGAATTTTGACAGGTTCAATCCAGTGAAATATGTTATTTTTGTAGACCCCTAGTCACAAAACTAGTCAAGTGCAGTTCAGAATGTCTACCCACCAGTTTCCGAGAATCACTTGAAGTTTCTTTTGGGCCTGAAAACACTGGACCACATTTAACCTAGGTTGGAGAGAGTCGAAAAGATTCTAATGAAAATTAAGTTATGAGTGAACATGTTTGGAGAAACAGTACACAAGCACGTTGGAGTCGCAAGCTAGTCTCTAGATTGGAATACTTGAACAAATTGACATACAAACCCTTGACACATTATCGATTGATTTCGCTGAATTTTTGAAAACCGAATACAGGATCCAAGTAAGGTACTTGATGACACGTTCACTGGTCAGAAGGTGTTGAATGTGAACTTTGAGTGCTCTCTCAGCTGAGGCGGCTGATTGCGCTGGTGTTGTTGTGGCTGCCAGCTCCCGAGAGGAGACCTGCTTGACTGATTAGATACCTGGAAAATAGTTTCCTCAGTGTCTTTCATCTGTCCTTCCCCGTACGGACTAGCAACCGCTGAAATAGTGATCGCCATTTCTTCTTAGTTTCTGCCTGTGCTCCAACAAAATCTAGCTCTGATTCTATGAAAGATATTTCTGTCGAGAAGCATCCACCTGCTCAGCCACCAAGAGGAGTTCATCTATAGCGCCAATCTCACCTTTTAATGTTCAAGCACGGTGATTCCGTTCAGCTGCGTCGTGACCTTGTGGCAAGTTCGCTTTAGACCTATGGCATAGTACTAACGGTGAACGTGTTTTACATTTCTGTGATGATCAGCAGTTTTTCCTCAGCAGTGCTGTTTAGACTCAGTGGTCACCGTTGTGCTATCTGACATCACTCTGCTGCTGTACAGTCATGAAGTTAAATCCTTCACTGGTGGCGAGGCTCAACATTTGACTCCCGATCAGTCTGGAATACACAGTGATTCGGATGATACCATCATTTGACCCAGATTTCCACTGAAATTTCGGGATAAACCTAAGAAGCGGACTTTTCATGTGGCCATCACAAAGCCTTCCGAGCCACAAGATGAACGAAAGAATGCAGACATACTATGTAACTCTTTGAAAGCGGTTTATTAAGAAGAAGGATCGTAACCGGAAAGAGAAAACAGACGTCAAAGTGACGCTGGAAACTTGGCATGTTTCTTTCGATCGCTCATACACTAGATCTCGAAAAGATTGCTGTCAGTTTTTGATGCAAGATGTTGCGCAGCCTCGGGACGACAACAAAATTCAATAGGTGACCCGTTAGACGTCAGTTCATACGAAGTTTTACGTTGATATGGAGGCGTCGTTAAACCAGCAACATAAAGGAATGAAGGAGGTAAGTGCAGTTGAAAATGCACGGAAACTGTTATAGCCGATCTATGAAACAGAACCGAGGACGCCATATGATAGTGAGCTAACAAAAGATACTGCCGAAAATCTAATGTAATGTAAACTAGTTTAGATCGCTCGGCGGAATATTTTCAGCAGCATATTAGTTGATCATCGGCTTCATTCCACCCACTCAACTTGTGTCTTGGTCTTTGAGCTCAGATCCTCGCTCAGCTGGTAAATTACTACTTTGCCTTTCTGCTCTTAAACGTCGTCAGGCTGCTGGGCCAGGTGAGTTCCCACCACAGTGTTGAATCTTTTTGTTTTACCTTAACTAGATTGTTTGAGCTTATGTGGCAAGAAGAAAGGCATTCCATAAACTGGGATTGATCAGTGATCCTAAATCTTATCTAAAAAAGCTACATTGTTCTAACCAAGGGTATCAGCCGGGCGCCTATTATATTGTGGCTCTTGGTTCCAATAATATTAGGATGCCCAACCCTGTCACGTGAAACGTAAATCGGATAGCAGCAAGCAGAGTTTCGTCCGGATAGAGAGCTTATTAGTCAACCTTCACATCACGTTAGGTGCTTGAGCAGTGCCATACATGTCGCCGGCCTATAACCGCAGCCTTCCTTGACTTTTGACCCCTTAAATAGTTCGTTTATGTATAAATGGCCAAAGACAAATACTCCTGAATTTTGTGTTTTCTGCTCTACACTCTGACGACTGTGGTCGTATAAGCATCTACAACAGACTATTCAGAAGTTTTTCTACGATTAGTTGGGCTTGGCAAGGCTGTTCTCTGGCCCTTCTTGTTCAATTTTTTCACCGGTTTTATCCTGGAATGCACAATTCAGTGAATCGAATCTCTTGGTATCGAAATTATTTCTAGAGCAAGACTAGTAGACTTGGACTATGTGGAAGATGTTCCCCTGTTACTTGAAAACCTTAGATCCGCATGGTCCATTCTAAGTTGAGTTTAAGATGTGACCTCTGGTTTAAGTATGGGTTTTGCACTTTCACAGTGAAAAGTATTACTCCGACATTTTGGGCTTCCCTATGTAGCTCTGAGGCTTCTGGGCAGCTGGATAGACTGTGAATATACCGTGACAGAATATGGTGTACATCCTAACAGTTTAGCAGCAACATCTGCGAATTTGCGGAGATGAGTTTCTATCATGTCAAAAGGCCGTGCCTACAAAATACCTGTAAAAGCAGTCTTACTCTATGGCGGTGAAACTAGGTCCCTTCGATCCGAAGACATGAGGCAGATTCGAACACTTGACCATTTGTGTCGTCACACTATAGCAGGCCTTATCTGCCTGCATCGTGTTCGCAATGAACTGTTGCGTAAACGAGTACTTGGCGATGTATAGCACTAGAGCAAGAAGCGTGACTTATCATGCTAATGTAGTTGGAACGTGCACTAGGCATACCCACATGCCGTCTGCCAAAAATACAGTTTCCAACCCCAAAGTGTCTTTGGTGAAAGACTGGCGAGAGACAGGCCATTACTCGGCAAAATGAAGGCTTTTATCTTCATACTGAGCGCTGCGTAGTCATCCCGCCTTTCTGGTTGGGATTTTCCGCGCACGTGGTGGGAAAGTCTAGAGAACACGGTACATCACAACTCCCTGTAGGATGTGCTGATACACCTTAGTCGGACTGTCTAGTTACAGTTTGCCTGTCGCTGCTTTGTGAGCTCACTTTGACTGAGGCTCGTAACATGCACTGACGATGACAATGGTGTCTTACTGAGATAGATGTTGAGGTGGGTCTATCTCTTTGTCGCTCCACAGAGTAGGTACTTTCTATCTGCTCGTTTCCCCTGGAGACATAAAGGAAAATAAACTATTTGTTTACGTCCTTTCCCATTCTATGCTTTATCAGGCACCCATTTTCATGGTTTTATGGTAGATAGGCTGCAGTATTTATTGACAGTTTATTACTGTCTAGCCCCATCTAAAGCTGGCACCTTTTCGTGGTGGTCGGACTTCAGTGCTGCAACGATCCTGTGGGCTGCAATGACTAGAATGCAGTTGCTTAGGTTTCCAAATTTTAGAGAGGACACCGACAAGTAATCCGATGAATGACAGCGGGTCTTGGTGTCACTAGAAATCGTACCATTTGGCGGTATCGAGATAAGGTCGTGCTATTCACCTTAACAGGATAGCGAGGACTTGCCTGGGTAAAGTTGGAAGAGATAGGCCTGAAAGACAAAGTGCTGTTGTTGTAAAAGAACCCAAAAGCTACGGGAAAGATCTGTCTGCACTCAGTCAGGCACGGTTGGCTAACAAGGGAAGGCTACAGGAGGCAATCTCCAGCTATACCTTATGCTGGAGTTAGCTGCAGTTAGCTTTTCAACTGCCTGGCTTAACATAGCCAAACAGAAGTCAACTTCAATACCGAAGTGTGTATGCCTTTACCGATTTCTGGAACAAGTTTGTCCCTGTTGAAAGGTAGTGGGAACAGAAAGGTGAAAAGTCCGCCCCGTTTTTTTCGTAACTTTGTCAATCGCTTCAATGGTGCAGATTGTAGAACCAGAATATTGTGTTTCCTTTAGGAAGGAATCCATTTTTAGGCCGAATTAATTAGGATAGGTCAGCGTATTCATGCTCTCAAATTTTTGTCACTTCGCTCTCTTTCGTCTACGCCAAAGCAAGGAGTCCCTAAACTCGCATTTCCTTTTTGTCAGAACTCACCACTAATGTACTTCCTTAGCTGCACCGGGATGTGAAATCCCCACACCTGATACAACCAAAGTAAGGAACGCTGAACGCTGTCTGTTCCAACCTTCAAGTTCTGTCAGGGTGATTCGTTTGTTAAGACTTGTGGAATCATCTCCTCGGTCGTCGCCGTGATTTAACGAAAACTTTCCGCACATCGATTTCTTCGGTTCTCACAGATAGAAGTCCTATTATCCATGCATCATTTGTTATCGCGTTATACCGGTTGATACCAAAGATGAGTATTTTAACTGCATTCTACACTGACTTGAAAACTAGAGTTGTTTTAGCGGGATTTATGGTGTTGTCTGTAGTATTCCTCACTGGACATAATGCGTACAGGCATTCTCATGTTCCTGTGGGACAATATTCGAGATATTAAGATATTTTCCTGACTACAGTCTGCGAGAATTCTTTCTATCATCCGTAGATCAGAAGATTATGGCGGAATTCTGTGACTGTGAACTCTAGATTATTGCTATCTTCGTGGGTGTAAATTGGCCTCATTTACTAGTCTTATACAGTCTTAATCATTCTTACTACAATATCAGCCGCATTTTTCGAATGGTCATCAATCATCAATTGTCCATCTTTCATGTTTACTCCTGGCAAAAGGTGGGGGACGTTGAGTTCAACCGCTAAGTCTTCGATTAGGCATAACTCAATCCGTTGATCCTCCAGTGGACTCTGC